AAGGTTCTAGCAGTAAATTTCCTGCTCTGGAGAGGCATCAACCAGTTGGGATTGAACAGGCAGGCGGGATCTAGCGGTAGCTAGCAGGAACTAAGTGGGATTTTATCGAATGAGAAATGGGTTCCAGCGGGAGTAGCGGGATCTAGCATGAGGCAAGATCCAGTGGGAGTAGCGGGAGGCAGGATCCAACTGAAAATTCCAACAGGAGGCGGGATCCAGCAGGAGAACCGACAGGAGACAGCGACTGGAAGCATACCTAGCCGACAACAAGGGGAGTAACGCGACAGCTAGGTTAAGACCATGACTCTGATACCATATTAGAATGGAACCATTATGTTTCTTATTGATGCAAAGAGGGGTATAAATACTCATTATAAGATCTATTAGTAAGGAAACAAATAAAATATAATAAAAGAAGAAGAAAAGTAAATAAAAGCAAATCAAAACAATTAATATAGAAATTTGCATATTAATATTCTAATATTATAATAAAAATAAACAATTAACATATGCATACCATTCTACCTCAAAAACTCATCAATTCAATTACCAGGATATTTGATCACATGCCTTCATAAGAGCGACAAAAAAAGATTTTCTTCGCTCTATATAGCACTCAATTAATTGCCTTAATACAAAAAACACTTTCATGATAGATTATCCCAGCATAGATTCAAATTAATTCTCAAAAATTGATGCAATTTTTCTAATCCTATATATCAATACTATATTCCATAACTCTATCATGCAACTCTTAAGTTTGATTCATCTATGGTCAGCTTAAACTCGAACATTACCTTCGTTTTAAAATATTAATGACAAAAAATTTGTCATCCAAATAACCATTCAATTCTATCTATCTTATTCTAGAATTTTTTATAAGAAACCCTTCACAACTCCCCCAGCCACCCCCCGTTTTTTTTTTTTTTTCTTTTAGCTTATTTCTACTTTTAAGATACATATCCATAACTAATTTCCGATATTATGTGGTCAAGCTTTCTCTAGGAAACACTTCACAACTTTTTCAAAAGAAATTTATTTATGATTTAGTGATTTCATTTTTTGGAAGAAACCAAATATTCTTGTCAAATTTAAATGTATGCATTTGGTATTACAAAATCATAGGTTACTATAAAATCAAGTATAATTCTCTCATTCCATTTCTACTCCTATTACATACCCACCGTGAATCCTCTCATAGAACATCCTACAACAACCTGCATACTCATATAAATCACCACCAATATTATCCACTTTTCAACAAATACAACAGATAAATATGGTTTAGCTCATTTATATCTTCTAAACTTAAATTTAAACATCTTTTAATCAAATTGAGAGCATAAGCACATACCAAATTCAAAATTTCTTCACTATTATTTATCTTGATAAAAATCACACTATCTTTAATTATATTAATTTCAATAATTTTATATTTCAACTCTTTATCCACTACTAGGCCAACTATATTTTTGTTATTGGCCATTTCAACATATAGAAACTCATAATCACTCATAATCTTCCCTATTAGCCTTTTTTTTTTTTTTAGTATCTTGAAACTAAACAACATCTATTCTTCCTCTTACCATAGTGCCCACCTATTCTTAAATCTTCCCATTAAAAATTTCTAAATTCCACCAAATCATATTAACTTAAGAATCATAACTTAAGGGTGACGTAGTAGCCCACATTTGCTTACCTTTCACCACATTGAGGTTAAGTTGTGTATCACTTGCGGGTAATGTCCTAGCCCACCTTTTTGCATATTTCTCACAACAAGCAGATGAGGTCATGATACGTCGCTTCCAAAGAACATCCAACCACCAACAAAATTAAATTTTGATTCACTAAATTAGTTTTGATCATTTGATGTGTTTTAGGACCAGTTGCAGCCTAACATTAACTCATCAAATTTCAATCTTTCTCATACAGGTTAGGAACAAGCAACAAGAATGAGTAAAAAAAAAAAAGAATGAATAATAATAATTGCTATTATTGTTATAGTTCTAAGAAAATTTTCAAAATAAATTTTGATGGTAGCCATAACACAATACATGCCAATAACTGATTATGGTTGACAACATAGAGGGTCCCGCCAATCAACAAAACAAAGTTCATTGTAACTCGAATGATGCAAACAGTCTCTAACTTAAACAAATCAATAAGCACATAACTCCTACAGCCAAAAGAAAAAATTAACTCCAACAATAAACAAACCAAATGAGCAAGTTAAGGTTGGATTTGCGAAATACAACAGAAAAAGAACCCTACTAATGAAATGTAAAGCAATGAAAAACCTCTTACAAGTCTATTTCCTCCTAATTTTTAGGAGGGAAAAAACAGTTTAAAAAGGCCCAAAAATCATGAAATAAGAAAAAGAAAAAGAAGTGGTCATTTTAAGGATCCGCATACACTTCCTTAGCATAATTTGCATGCGATTGTTCAAATCCCCTAGAATGAATTGTGTTCCAAGTTCCTTTATCCAGTCGTAAATTGATAATCTGATTAGTAGCCTCAAAATGAATGTGGATGACTAAGCTCATAATAAAAAAATTAACATTCAAATTCATAATATATGTTATTCTTAGATGTTTAAATCTTTGGCTTCTGTTTGATATCGCAATCAACGTTTGAGCTTAGGGTTGTAAATGAACTAATGCATTCGGTGAACAACTCGAACTCAACTCAATTAAAACTCGATCATATTTGTTTAAATTAGTAAATAAGCAACCTTGAATATATTTTAAAAGGGGCTTTTACATATGGAGGTCTCCAAGGTAAACGCCCCAAAACATTTAATTTAAGCCTCAAAGACTCCGTTACCGCTCGTCTCCCTCTCTTTTCGTCTCTGATACCTGCCCTCTCTCCTCTCCCTCAGTGTTTCTCATGCCGACAGAACCAAGCAAGACACGAAGGTCATTGAGGAGAAAGAAAGGAAGCTTGCGAAGGTCCTTGATGTTTACGAGAAGCATCTTGGAGAGCAGGTTTCTCATTGGCGATGAGTTCACTCTAGCCGATCTCTCTCACCTTCCCAATGGACATTACATCGCCAATCAAGACCATCTCATCAAGTCGAAGAAGAATGTGGTGACATGGTGGGAGGAGATCTCGTCGCGACCCTCCGGGAAGAAAGTTATTGAAATGTAGAGCGCCCTGACTTCTTGAGTTCTTCGATTTTTCTGTTGTTGAGAAGAAAAATATATCTTTTTTTTATTTGTTGGGGGTGGGGATTTTGTTAATCGAATGTCCTGATTTTAACTGTTGTTGCTTAAGTTGTTAGTCTGGTAATGGATTTGGAAAAGAAAATAAGATGTTTATCAGCAACAAAGAACTCTTACGAGCTTGAGAATCAAATCCTCTTCCCCTTCCCCTTCGGTGGCTGAAGCTTTTTAGCTTTTTTCGTCTCCGCCAACGGTAACAAAGCATTTGAGGTGTAAATTAAATGTTTTGGGGCTTTATCTGTAAATTGCACAGTTTTGGGACCTCCATATGTAAAAACACATTTTTAAAAGCTCGAAAATTAAATAAATTAAACATGAATATAGTCAAACTTACTCATTTAGGTTCACGAACAAACTATTTTGTTATTCAACAAGCAACTTGTTAACTATTTGATATTAATCTCGTTGATAACTCGTATCATATATGATATATTATTTAAAAAATAAATTGATTAACTATAACTTATTTAATTATATTTAATATTAATATATTATTATATAAATTGATAAAAGGTTTGCATTATGAGCTATTTGATAGTATAAGTTCCTTCGGATTTTTTTATTCTTGTTTTCATGTTTCTTCTCTATCTTTCTGAAAAACTATCTATTGTAGGCACTAGATAAGATCATATGGGTTAGTTCAATTTCTTATATGATTTATTAAATTGTTCATTTATATAGATTTGTAAAATTATCTACTATAATTTCTATATAAAAATATTAATATTCTTTTGAATTTTTAGCTCATTAAATACCCATTCACTTGTCATAAACAAATCAAGTAGTAATCATGAAGTATTAAAAAATATAAACAAGTCAAGCTTAAACAACATATGAAAGCTTGACACAAGTTCAAGCCGAATATAAACTACTTATAATTATACCAAGCCAAGTCTAATTTATGATATGCTCAGCTCGACTCGGCTTGATTACAACCCTAATTGTGGTACATGAGTGAATGCCATGAAAACTACTTGAGCTAAAACTGAGGCATGCATTTCGTTTATAAAACTCATCACATTCAAGCACACTGTAATAATTCAAATTTAAGAAAAAGTTAATGAGATTTTAAAGGGCGGGCGATAACACCACTGAACAAGAATACTAAATTTCACAACTTAAACAACCCAAAATTGAGTATTATGCATCATATTTAATACTTTGCTTCCTGTAAATATTTTTCCATCACAACAGAAAGCATAATGAAGATCTTGACAGGGTAAATAATATGATCAGAAAATTTCATCTATGGTTGTCAACTCATATCAGAAGGACATTCAGAATTCAAAAAAATAAGACCTCTGTTCGCCACCTAACACATGTTTAAATAGAATTGTACCTTGTTGCAGAGTCAGTCTCAGAATAATCATTTTTTAATAAATTTGTTCTTTAGCACAAAGAAATCTATATCTATAACTGTTCTAAGATATGTTATGTTTTCCCGCAAAACTCCAAGCAACTTTTCTTATTGACAGAGGCATCAGGTAGCATCAAAATTGCAAATACCCAATAGACAACTCATAAAGTAAAAAATGAGAAAGCAATTAATATATACCAAGGTATGTATTTCTGAAAAGACAAATTACCTCAAAGGGCAATGCATTAAATCCTCATGTCCTTTTGAGTTACGAGGCACAGCTTTCTCCACTAGATATTACCTTATAAGAAGCAATATTGAATTATAGATCCTAGTATAAAATCTTCCTACAACATTAATTCATAAGACTAAACATTGAACACAAACTTTATCCATTTCCTGAATAATATGATAAAACTAATAGCATTACAAAATTTTCAAAATGAAATAAAATCACATAACTTGTTTCTCTTTGGCATGTCAATAACGTTACAAAAGAATCATACATTACCGTCCCAGTTAAATTACAATCAATAATGCATCCTCTCCACAAAAACTATTGATTTGGTGGAGATGAATCAAAGCCGTAACATAGAGGGAACAAAACCAGAAAAATGATAATGTGGCGTATATTTAGCAAGAAAATTTAGACAACATGAACTAATTAAGCCAAAAAAACCGGGAAACTCAAACCAAAAACCATGTTTCTCAATCATATCAAGATGCAAACCAAAAAGGCAAAGTAGACACTTACCGAAGCATTTGAGGAAGATGATCTGCAAGTTTCGATTAAGATTGCCCCCATGAAAAACGTTTAGATTTTTGAGAAACAAGCTATGGCCTTTTCAATATTGACAAAACTATTTATTCCAATTTTACAGAGCTTGAAGAAGGAATGCCTAAAACAAGAGCAAAACATCACCTTTTATACAGTAGTTTTCAAAGCAGGGCTTCAGGAAGCGCTCATTTAACAATTACACGACCAACTCTAGCCCACCTCCTCAGCTTCCCCCACAAATTACAACAGATGGAAGGTCTCCATGATCATGAAAAGCAGAGATTCATATTAACCCAACAAATTCTCCCTTCTCAATAGTTGTAGCCAAAGCCAAAGCATTCCTCCCAATCTTCCCATAATCTTTTTGAATAAGCACCAAACAAATCTCCAGAACCCCTTCTTCTTTTGCTTCCCATCTAAACTTTTCAATATCAGAACATACAAAGTTCAGCACCAAAAGCGCATGCTCAATCCCTCTCCCGGTACCTTCCATCAAAACTCCAGCCAAAACCCTAACAAACCCTTCAACATTAGCCATAGCCTCCCTTCCTTCTCTACACTTTGCAATCAAACTCAGAACCTGAACAGCCCTTTCTGAGCCATCACCTGCGAAGTAAACCAAAGCTGGCACCGCCACAGCACGCACAGCTCGGCCGCGATTCTCCGGGAACTTGCAGAGCTCGTAGAGCGCGGTAGCAGCTTCCCGGCGATCCCGACCCTTGCCGTTACGGAGAAGGACCGATAGAGCTGGTATCGCGAAAGGGTGAGCTCCGATGGTGCACTTATTGACCTCGACGACGGCCAGGCTGGTTAGGACCGTAGCGGCGAGAGAAACGTTAGGTCCGCCGGAGGCTAGAGCTCGAGCAAGTGAGTCAATGGCGCCGTCCGCAACGAGGCCGACTCGAGCGTCGTCGCCGTCGAGGGAGAGGTATATGAGAGTACGGAGAGCGAGGTTCTGCAGGTCGGGGGAGTCCGGAGAAGCGGCGTGGCGGAGAAGAATGGAAGGAGCTGATGAATCGGAAAGAACGCGACGAAAAGCGGGTTCGTCTTTCGCTAGGCCGAGCAGAGTGGAAAGTGATGTGGCGGAGGCGGGGTAGGAGAGGGATGAAAGGAAGCATATCTGGTCAGTCGATCGCGAGGGTTTACGCTTGCTGCTCTCTCTACCAACGACAGGGTTGTAGCTGTGGATGAGGGAGCGAAGGGCGTGGTTAGGGATTAGAGGGGAGTGGGGAGGGAGAGGAAGCTTAGTGACGGGGCAAGTATGGTGGCCAGAGTCAATCCAGCGCTGGATTGATGAGCGATCGAAGGTGTGGCCGGATGCAACGATTACGGGGTCCGACATCACTTCAAGAGAGATCGGACAACGGAAATCGTCGGGGTATTTCAAATCCATGGTTTCTACCTTCTGTACAGTTTCACTCGTTTGACTCTCTGGTACTTTTCCGAGTAAGGCGCCGTCGCCGGAGAAGGAGGAGGGAGTGGGGCGGATGGTGGCGTAGGCGGGGAACAATTTTGTTTAATTTTTTCTTCAGTCGACCGAAAATGATGCTCCTACATGCATTATGACTAAAAAATTTGTGATCGGACGAGCAATCCTTTATCTCGGATAACGAGTTGGCATTACCGCCGGTGAACCTAGTAACTTATCACCTATTTTAAAAGGTGGAAAAATAAAACGGGATTTTTTATTTTTTTAGCTGTCGCATCCAGACATCTTCTAGACCTACCACAATTTTCCTGGGGAAAATAAATACGGCATTTGAAATTTGGCTTGGGGGCTTCGGAGTCAACTCGATGACGACGTAAATCATATTGTGGTATATATTTGATGGTGTGAGGCAATTCAGACCATTTGGTTCGGATATAATATTTTTATGAGAGTGAAGATTTATGGGATAAAAAATAGATATTTAAGTTCTGTTTGGGGCAGCTATAATTTATCTAATTTTTTTAGATAAATAATTTATTTTAAGAATTTGATGATGAGCGGCTTATCCAGATGAGCTGACTGTCATAGAAAAAAATGAAACAGGAGTAATGCCTATAACTTTCATATGATTTTTCATGGCTTCAACAAACTGAATTTCTCCCAGATAGTATAAGCAGAAAATGATGAAGCAAAATTACCACAGAAATGTCACATAAAAAATCGGGATTTCAATAAAAAAAAATGAAAATGATATCAAAATAAAAAAAGAATGTTATTCAATGCTTCACATATTAATTCGCACGCAAAACGTTGTTAGTGTGGAGCCCGGTTTGGACCCCCTCCCGCTCTCGCTCTCCCGATCGCGAGAGATCGCGATCCCGCTCTTGTCTCCAACCGTAGGCACCAACCGCTTCTGTCTTCCTCTGTTGTGAAACGAAGCATCCCTTCGCTCCCTCCTCTTCGCTATAAAAGGATCGCACGGCTCCTTTTTTTTTAACAGCACGACCCTTTGTGTTCTTCTTCAGTAGTTTCCACTTCCACGGGATAGTGGAAGGACTTTCACGAGAGAGTGGAACAGAAGTGCAAGAAATAGTTCATTGCTGCAGAAGGAAAAAGAAAGAAGAAGAAGAAGATTGTTTTCCCTTGGCTTCTTCTTGGTGGCTTGTGGCAGAAGAGAAATTTGATTTATTTTTCTTGTATGTTTATCTTCTTCGGTGTATCTCTGTGTAGAGTTTCTTCGGTGTATCTCGATATAGAGAGAGAAAAAAAGAGAGAAAAAAAGAGCAACGAAGTGAGAGATTCCTCTTGTAAGTCGAGACGATCGACTGATGTAAATTCCTAAAGTAGTAAAATCTTATGCAACTCCGTAGACGTAGGCAATTTGCCGAACCATGTAAATCTGTGTGTTTAGTTGTGTTACTGTTTTCTGGCGTGAATTTGCTCGTTCTATTTTTCGCTTCATCAAAGATCATTATCCTATTTTATTTCTATATATATACCACAACGACTAGTATATCTCACTACAAACGTTTCATCCTAAATCAGAAGAGTCAATCATCCGCAATGTTTCACAGCCATCCATATGCAATGCTCCATTCTTACAGATCACAAGAAAAGCAAGGGTAAATACTTACGGAGCACAGTGATGACGAACCTCAGAGGAAAACATAAAGATAAAAGCAATACACGCATGATAGAGGCATAACGAGGTCAGAGAAGCGAATCAAAAGTAACCTAGGGCACGAGATGGGGAAGACAACGACAGGGGGTAGGTAAGTAAAAAAAAGATCGAAACGCTAACCCGCGTGGATGAGGGCGCGAGCCACGTACAGTTATAACACAAAAGTGTGTTTGGTGGGACTCGCTCCAAATGCAAAAACTAAACGCCATAGCCATGTTTTCAAAGCGCAGAAGTTGTGAATAAGCCGTCCCAAACGCACCTTTAGTTTTAACCAAAATATATATAAAAGGGGGATTGGAACTTTTCACTTTAGTTTTATTTTAATTTACTTTTTTTATATTTTAATATAAAATAAGAGAAATTTAGACATCTTAGACAAATTTATCTTTTAAATATTATATAAATCAATTTACTTTAAAATTTGAGCATTTACGTACATATCACACAGTTTTTTATGTATTTACATATTTATTTTCTAAACTTTCATATTTACATATATGTATATATATATATATATATATATATATACATGTATAACATTAAAATTTTAAACTATACATCAAATATAACGTTAATTTTTTAAAAGTAATATTTTTTTTTATATATATAGATTTATGATACTAAAACGTTATAAAAGTAAATATGAAAATTTACATGTTAGGCACATAATTACATAATAATTATGACATATGCTCCCCTTGATAGTTGAAGAAAGGCATATAATACTAATTCTTGATTGTTCATTATTCAGAAAATAAGAGTTATCAAGTCTTTAAATCCCTTCTGATACCCTTCTATATTAGAATGATCAATCTTATTTGTAGGTAGGGTTGTCAAAACGGCTCGTTGTTCGCGAGCAGCTCGTATTCGGCTCGTTCGCTAAGTTAACAAGTTGTACACGAACAAATATTTGTTCATTCGTGTTCGGCTCGTTTTGGCTCGAAATACTACTAATCAATTATATATATATCTTTGATGAGTAGTATTTTTTAAAAATTTAATTGACTACAAGGCTACAAAGATTTATAATCAATTAAAATTATTAATGAAGAAAATATAATTAAAATTATTAAATTAAATTCAAATAATGTTTTAAATCTTGACTCAATCATTAACATCTTATGGCTATGTGATTAGGTTTGTCAAAATGACTTTGTTTGTGAACGGCTCGTATTCGGCTCTTTAACCAAACGAGCCGAAACTTTTTGAGCTCGAAATATAAACAAACTGGGCTTAGCTCGTGTTCGGCTCGTTTACACCCCTATTTGTAGGAAAGCTCGCTCATATGTCACAAATAGTAACTTTATTATATACAAATGTCAATAAATATTTTTTTATCTTCTTTCTTTACTAGATAGAATAATTTAGCTACTTCGGTTGGCATAACCAACCCCGCTACTTCAGTTGATGGTCTTAACTCTGCTACCTTCGCTGCTAGACCCGATTCAACCACTTCGGCTGGTGGATTTGATTCCTATGAAAAAATTACAAAAAAAATTAATTTAAGAATTACTATGATCCGATATTTGTGTATAAATAAAAACTCTTGAAAGTTTGGATTTGAAAAGTGATGCCAAATTTTTTATGTATTAGGCCACTTTAATGATTAAAAAAAATAGAATAAAATAAACTCTTATGCGTAATTTCCTCTATTTAGGGATAATCACATACAAAGTACAAGGAACATCTTTAACTTCGTTTATTTCGATAAGACACCATGCTAAATGATTAACTATCAAATGATCTCTTATGATGGTGTCACAATTACATTAAACTATAGCCACAAAATGTACATTTTACTTTGGAATATTTAACATTAATGCAAACTTTGATAAGATGTTAAAAATCTAATTTTCTATGAATAAATCTTAAAATATGGAAATATTTACATGCATGCCAATATCGTGAATATTTTTATGTGACGTCAAAGCTCTGGGTGTTATATATGTAAATATGAAACTTTAGGTGTTAGATTGATAAATATATAAGAAGTTCGGGGTTATGTACTTAAACCCCCCTAAAATTTATTTGAAATATAGGAATAATTTATGTGATAGATATTTTCACACTTGCCAGGAGGAAGCTATACACTAAAATATTTGAAAAAGAAAGCTAAACACTAATATATCTACATTCTACACCAAACATGTGTATATGTCCCCTTTGTATTTTAATACTATTTAAATTGGACATGTCAAGGACGTGTCTGGGACGTGTCTGGGACGTATCTGGGGTGTGTCGGCGTCCAAGAAGTATTGACACTGCACGACTTCTTAGTCCGATGAAGTGTATATTTTCTCTTAGCTAAAAAAGATCGATAAATGAATCGCTTATTTATCCACGACATCATTTATCTTCAAAAAAGATTTTAATTTTGTTGAATGCAAATAAAAAAAAAACACAATCTATCTTTATATAATAGGTGTGGGCTGAACGCAGTCTGTTTTTTCCTGTCAAATAGATTACATAGATCTGCGTAAGTCTCAAATCTTCAAACTCAATCCAACTTCAAATCCATAGATGTTGGTTTTGTTGATCGTTTCGGTCAACATCAATACGCGTGGTGTGCTTATGCACCACACCACACCTATTGGGGGTCTATTTGTTGACCTCATTTTGAGGTCCTCTCCTTAGGACTTAGGATCTAGCCATAGGATTTCTAGCCATAGGATTTTTCCTGTTGACTATTATCCTAGAAACCTAGTTATGAGATCCACCCTCATAGAAATTCAAACCATATTTGTTAATAAAATTTTATGATTTGATTTAGCATTTTTAATAGTTGTTTCATATAACATATTTTGCATCTGAATATAAATATTTATATATGAGAATTGTTTTCCAATTTAAAATTCATGTTGATTCTACCTGCCTCCCATGTAATAATTAAAAATCTTAATCATTTTTTTTTTGTATTAATTGGATTTTACTTATAGAAAAACTATGTCGGCCTTAAACAACTATATTATTTAGTGCTAATTCAAAAGTTTCTTCAATATTCTTGAAATAGTTAATCAGTATAAGCTTTATATAATAGATATTTATTTATAATTGAAGATTTGTTTTAGTTTAACCAATGAATACAATATGACAATTAGTCAAAAGAGAAGGTGACTTGTAATGGTAGCTCAAATGTCACCATTTGGTTATGTTTGACATTTTGGTCTTGCTAGTCTTCAAATTGGACCAACTAGGGAACATGGACAATGAGAAAAGCAAAGGCTTGATTTTGGTTGCCAAAATTGAAAAGAAAAAAAAAGTATGTATATATATATATATATATATATATATATTTGTGCAAAAAACTAATTTGTGAGTCCCATTCTTTAGTGAAAGATTGTCTTATTGGTTGTATACAATAAGACTAGTGTATATAATTGGTACAATAAGACTGTGTATA